TAAAGCGGTTTCTGCCTTAACAAACCTGTACGGCAAAACAGTGAAAGACGTTGTACAATATGCCCAGGTTTCAAGAAGATCGAACATGGAAGTTAACATAATCGTTCTTCATCTTTTCTGTTCTGTATCACTGATAGAATCAAACAAAGTCTTGCCATTTTCCATCTTGAGGAGTATCACAGTAGCAAAAAAAAATCTAAGTTAAATAACCTAGTTTCATAAAAAAAACCTTGTACAAGGTGCGCCATAATTATGGTAAGAAAATCATCGTTGCGCAGACACCGCAGTTTACAAATGATAAACTCTTGTGAACTACTTACCGTTATGCATCGAATCTACAAAACGAACACAAGTTCATCTCTCAAACACATACACTCACCCACTTATTGCTGTCTGCCGTCTGTCATCACGAAATACGGTATTAGCTGAAGAAATACCTAAAACGTTGGGCATGTTTGGGTTGGGTGGATTTCGGGGCGAAATCAATGGAGATGTTGGCTCAGTGGAGCAGCGCTTCCGGTGGCGGGACATGCACCGCAGAGAGAGCAATGTTTTCTAAGTTGTTTCCAGGAAAGCCCTGACATCAGGAAGAAATTGGCAAGCATCCTTACTATAACGCGCCTACGTCTATTTGTTTGTTGGGATGGAGAACATGTAAGCTCAGCGGAGCCCCGCCCATAGGAGGCGGGATATGCACCCGAGTGGAGTGTGTCATGGTCAAGAATCCTTCACTAGGTTTCATAACAGCCCAGACTCCGGGAAAAAATGAGCAAAGGTGTGGGATGGGTCAACAAATCAACTAAGGGAGACTTATGAGCACTGAGCGAAGCCTTCTTGCAGTGGGCGGTACTTTCCACATAAGTTCGTAACTCGATTCAAAGAAAGCGTGGAAACCAGCAAAAATAAATGGGTTTAGCAAGGCTTTGTGCTTGCCAAGCATGCGTAAACTTAGCGAAGCTGAAGCGTGCGTTAAAATGGATTATTACGTTATTTTGAAAAATGTGTGATCCATTGAAAATTGGGTGTTGATGAAAGTACTGATGACAACAACAGTTTCGTTGTAGCAATTGATGAACCTATGAATTATCACGATGGAATAACGCATCATCTTCTGTTTTCAACCATGCTAGCCTTTGACTGCCCTCGTGTGGCGCACTTCTGCCACATTGAGTCTCTAACTGCTGCGCTTGTCAGAATGTATAGATCGTAGAACAGAAGGAAAAAACCATGCGTAAAGAAACGAACCATATGTTTCCGAGCAACACATTTTAGTCTCTTCACTTTCTTTACTAATTTTTTGCAGTGTTGATGACTCTCTACAAGCAAGCTGTTTTTTGATGCGGGTGAGATACTAGGAAAGCATTTTGTTGTGGCTTCTCTGTTGTTATTGCCCTATTGTGAGTTACCTTCAAATATATTATTTTTTCGGGCTATTTCTGATTATTTGGTTGAACAACTCATTGCTTTAGGTAAAAGGGGTGGGGTTGAGCTAGTTCTCGTGGGATCAGTTTTTAAGTTAAGTGCTTTCAAGAAAGGTATGAAAACAGTTCTATTCGTATTCAATACAGTAGTTCTGAAAGAGAGGATCATGCGGTGATTACATTGGATTCATCTTTCAGGATGAGCTTTGTACTAGCTAACGCTTTTGGAACAATCCATTTTGGTTACAGTACTGCTTACATTAGTGCTGACATATTGACAGCTCTGAAGTTGAAGAAAAGCGTTCTTTTCTACGTTCAGGTTTTGTGCATGCCGTAACGGGGTCGTGGATACCGAAGATTAGTATCTTCCGACCAACCACATCTAGCGCTTTCGGTGCAGCCGCATGGTTGCCCAAGAAGTTGGACTAAATATTGCACGACCCAACGCCGAGCCCGAGAGAGGTTATTTTTTATTATTAAATAGCACTTTTCGGTTTGAGGTTCGCGAAGTTTGAAGAGAATCAGCAACTGTATGAAGGATTCCTCATGAATTGATGAAAAGTTGTTATAGACTGTTACCATTTTGTAAGAGTTGTAATCTACTAAGTGCCTAGATGTTCCTTTTCATGGTTTACAACTTTGTTTTGAAAATCATTTCGCATCCCATCTGATAATAAATTGCTTATTCCATGTCATGATCTCCAGCTTAATTTCACGCCCCTTGTCCTTAGTGGCGTTACTAACACCAGAGGCGGTAGCTCTTCTACAAGAAACATAACTTTCGCATAGATCTGACTTGCCTGAGGTAGAAGATGACCAGGGACGATGTTCCAAGTTCAATTCCAAGTTTTGAGACCTTGTCTAACCTCCCCCTACGACTAGGACTCTCACAAAGGTGCAAGGTAATCATGGAATGGACTACCAAAGTCCTTCCCACCGGACAAAGACTAACTACTCCTACTCCTATTTGCTCCTAGAAGGAGTCGGATGATTACATCGAAAAGCTGCATCCATCCGGTCAAAAGTCATAGTCAGTGGTCAGAAGTGACGCACTCCGCGGGCACAATACCGTCCTAGTCAACACTGAAGATGTACCCTTCCTGCTTGCCCCTGATTCTGAACCTTTTCAATGCTGGCGCCTTTATTCTCAGGCAGTGGCTCCAATCTCGGATATGAAAAAGATGCTGTTAGACATCTCATGAGAAAAACTAGATTTGAGCTTCCGCGCGAAAAATTTCTGAACGAACGAACAAAGGGCAAAAACGTGTGCAGTTGTAAAGAAACCATGTAAGTGAAACTCCAAATAAGAAAAAAAATGAAATTCAGGGCTTCTTGTAGCTACTGGTGAATTCACTACGTTGCAGTTCGCTGATAGCAAAACAATTCAAGGAGATGGTGTTACCTGACGTTGTCACCTCAGCCTCGTTTCCCAATAAAAAAGAAGTTTACCTGTATCACCTGTATCACCTGTACTCCCGTTTATCGTCGATTTCCTCAAGCGGGCGCCAGTAACGTCTCCACTTAGTCCCTGTCGCGAGCCAGAGTAGTCCATCGTACTCGCTGGAGGAACACGGGGCGAAACATTTCTTTCGTTCAGAGCTTCCGTGGAGAAGTCTGACCATCTCGTGGGCGGCCGTCCTGGAGTTCGTTTGACGTCGCAAGGGATCCAGTCAGTAACAGCCCTGGTCCAACGGTCATCATTAAATCGCATAACGTGTCCGGCCCACCTGATCTTCGATCTCTTGGCGTAATCAGCGGCATCCCTCATCTTCGTTCGTTGACGGAGCTCGGAATTCCGGATTCCCTCCTGCACTTGCGTGTATAGGGGAATTCCGAGCATCGTCCTTTCCAAAGCGCGTTGAGTAACGCTGACAGCATGCTCATCCTGTTTTCGTAGAGTCCAAGTCTCCGAGGCGTACGTCAAAGCAAAAAGGACAGCAGTGTCAAAAAGGTGAGCGCGGAGCCGGATGTTCTTTGTCTTATTCACTACTCCCTCGATGTTTTTAAATGCTCCCCACGCGGCGCGTTCCCTTCTGCACAGCTCTGGAGCTAGGTCGTTCATCATGTTGAATTCCCGTCCTAGATACACATAGCTAGAGCATTCGGAGACATTCGTTCCGTTTTACGTGAAAGGAGCATCAGGTAGCCGTCCGTTTTTCATGAACATCGTCTTCGTCAGGTTCAGCCTCAAGCCCATCTTTCCACAAGAACTTTTAAACTCGGCCAGCATTCGTTCCGCCTGCTCGACGTTCGGTGTTATAAGCACGATGTCGTCTGCAAGCGGAGGTGACGTAGGAAGCGGCCGTCGACCCTCACCCCATGTCTTCCCATTCCAAATGACGCATGATATTCTCGAGAGCGGCACTGAAAAGTTTGGGCGAAATAGTATCGCCTTGCCGGACACCTCTCTTCACGTTGACAATGACTTCCTTGTAGAATGGTGAAGTCCTGGCCGTGAAGTTGCCGTAGAGCTCACGAAGCATCCTTATATATTGAGTAGGAATACCCTGGTTGCCCAGGGCTTCAAGTAACGCTTCTGTCTCAACGCTACCAAAGTCTTCCTTCGAATCGATGAACGTAAGACATAACGGCATTTTGTACTCCAGCGATACTTCAATGGCTGCTTCCATAGTCCGCCGGCCGGCCGGCCGGCGCGCCGCGCACTGACGTAAAGCGAATTAGGACGTATGTGAGAAATCTACGTCCGTTCCATTTCACGGTCAGAACAAGTCAGAACCGTGAAATAAGATGCAATAGACGTAGATTTCTTACATACAAACTAATTCTTTTCACGTCAGTCATAGTCCGCCGGCGCGCCGGCCGGCCGGCGGACTATGAAAGCAGCCAACGAGTCTTGTAACGGTGTGGATGTGATCGATTGTACTGAACCTTCTCAGGAACCCTGTTGCTCGCATGGCTGTCCTTCACCTAATATTCTGCCAATCCTGTTAAGGATGACTCGTGTAAAGTGCGAAGAGTTTACAGATTACAGACAGCAGGCAAATTGGGCGATAATTGCCAATGTTGTCTGGGTCTCCCTTCTTATACAGCTACACGATCTTGCTAGTTTTCCACAAAGTTTGCACTTTGCTTTGCGACAGGTACCGCGTGAAAAGCCGGGTCAGGGTCTTGACGATGACTGGCGGAAGGCTCTTTAGATGCTCTGCTTTGATCCTGTCGGGACCGGGTGCAGTACCACTCCTCATCGACGTGATGGCATGTCGTATTTCAGAAGGGAAAATAAAGGGATGACGTATCCGTCTTGCCTAGGATGGTAGGTAGGCAGGTAGAAGTGGTTGTCGAAAAGATCAAAGTAGAAGTCGTGGATGACCTTCTTCATTGCCCTTTGGGATCCCGTAACAGTTCCGTCAGGACGAAGAAGGGAAGTCACCTTGGTCTTGTAATTGACAAGCTCCGGCGGGCTCGGCGAATACTCTTCCCAGCCTCGGCGGCTTTAGCCAAAATGCTGCTCTTCTCTCATTCAGGTCTTCCTATATCGCTTCCCTGCATAGCTTCGCAAGTTCGGACGTTAGTTGGTTATTGCCTGCAGCTCGCGCGATTCTACGCTGGTGTATCAGCTCAAGAGTCTTCGAGAGAGACGTTTCTTGACATCTTTGAGACTCTCAGCTCTCCTGGCGCAATCGTGAAGATGTTCAACGAGCCGGTCGTACTCTTCATCGATGTTATCGCTGACGGAATCTTCCCACAAACTCGCCAATGAAGCGAAGTGATCCCATTTGGCCACAGTCTTGGAGCTTCATTTTCTGAATTCAGCTCTCTCTCTCCACGCACTGAAAAGCGGAATCCAGTGTGGAGGAGACGATGGTCTGATCCCGTGTAGTTCTTCGGAACAACACCGACGTGAGTCTCCTTGTGGAGCTCTTCAGCCGTTCTTGTGGGGCCAATATTGGTATTGAAATCATCGACGATGACCTTGAAGAAAGTATGGTCTTCTTTGTGGAGCTTCTCCAGATCCATATAGACTCCAGCTCTTCTTCATCGTACTCGATGTTGGTGCTTTAACAACGAAGATTGTTACAGCTGCGGTTGAGCCACATCTTCTCAATCGCAAACGTCCAATATGGCTTGTCAAGCTCTCGTACGAATCAATGTTCATGACCTAGTGCATGTTGACGAGGACACCTACACCGCCGACGCCTCTGCTGCCGCACGTTCCAAGGAACAGTCCTTCACCAGTTTCAAATACAGCGTGCAGCGCGCGATGCCTTCTCGTCTCGGTCAGTCCGATGACGTCGTACTTGATCTTCCTAGCTTGCATCATCAGGTCTTCTATACACGCTTCCGTTGCAAGCGTCCGTGCGTTGAAATACAGATCGCTATCTTAGTCCTTCTCCTTTTGGGCAGCGTGTTTAGGCCCTGAGGTTTTAGCAGCCTCTCCCGAGCGGTCCTACCCAACGCTACAGTATTGGGGGCTCCCTCAGCTTCAGGGGAATGAGGCCCATTTCTGTTACTGTTTTTGGTGCGAATATTCACGTGTAAATTGCTAGGCGCTAACAAGTGGGAGACCCACTCTCAGCCGTGTGGACATGCGGACGTGCCGATAATTCATATGAATATATATTTTTTTTATAAATATAATTGGATGGATAATGAGAGCTCCAAGCAAACTTACCACCGAACAGTAGAACAATGCTGGTGAGAGCTTTCGGACCATGTAAGCCGGCATCTGATGGGTAAGACAGAAGCATGTGACAGGGCGAAAGGTTGCCTCCTTTTTGGTAGGCAGATATTAGCCTGAGCAAGTCCTTGCCTTAGTCCGGAACGCACTAATTTAGACGTAATATTCCGGGGCTTGCCGTGTGCAACTCAACGCGTGAAGAACGAATTCAACCGCTCCCTCGGGCGAGCGGATAGGGGGACTCAAGCAAGGGGACTCGCCATCCCGCCAGTTCTTCGACAACTACCTAACCACAGCTTCAAACGCGAAGCGGCAAGCCGGTTAATATAAAGCCTCGCATGACTAAAAATTACCAGAACTTTGCATTGGAGCATTTGATGAGATACTGAGAAATTACAAAAAGACCGGGTTTTTAAACAGGAGTGGTGAAGCGGACACGCCCACACGCCGCACGTTCACACACCCACCGCGTTGAGGTGGTAAGCCAGCGGGTGGCCTACCACCTCCAAAAGAAGTTCAAAAGAAATAAAGGTGTTTTAGTACACAGAAAAGAAATAAACACTGATTGACACTGACAAAAAACTGATTGAGTTACGAAAAGGTTTAAAACGAAAAGGTTTTAAACTTAAAACTTTACACTTACATTTCTTCATTAGGCTGTATCAAAGCGCAATCCAATGGATCTCCTCGAGCAGCTCGATTAGTTATGGATCGTTATGGAGCTGATTGAGTTACACTTCTTTTCCGACATATGTGTCACAGGTTTCTCTTTCTTTTAACATTCCTACAGTTTCAGCATTCGCAATTTATTTCCCCTGATCCTGTGAGGATCGATATTGGTTCAGGTCACACCTCACAGAGTGCAAAATCGCATGAAATCGCTCTTCAGATGTTTTGACATGAAGCCCATCATAGTGAACGACATCTGCGCCAATCCGAGAAAAAACCCTATCTCCAACCGCAATACATCAGTTCCGCAATTATTCTCACAACCCTTGTTTTGAGTTAATTCCGACTCCACCAACCATGAACAGTGAATTCGTTGATAGACGACGGTTTGCCAAGGTGAGGACCAGTGCATGCGTCAATGAAACCAATCGAAAGCAGTAGCATTTACCAATATCTCCTGAGCTGAGAAAAGTAAACGTTTGCGAAGAATTTGATTATTTGGTAAAACCTCACCTTATTTGATGTCCACAGTTTTAATCTTTGAAATTTGAAAAGCCTTACATGAGAAATTCTTAAGTATTCTGTCCACACTACTAAAATTGAACTGACTTTGCCAAGGAAAAGTAACAGATGAAAAAAAAGAGGATTTTTTAGTGTGAATGAGGACTCAACAGCTCCCTGTGAACTGCTGTTTCTATATGGTCGTTCAGTGCCTTCCCCTGCAATTGAGCGATAACCTTTTCCATTCCCTCACGCATTTCTCTGGGAAAGAAGCAGCATCTTTCGGTCAAAAAAAGCTGTTTTGACGAGATTTTATGTTAGCGTCATATATCTGAGCGAGATCTAGGATTATATAGTTTGTTATTAAGGCCATACTTAAGACCTGGAATCGCATTCACAGAACTCAATTTCCTCCTCAAATCATGTCCAACAACGAGCACCAGGTACAACAACAAGTGACTTTAAACGAAATATTTGTCAAAATGTGTTTTAGAATGTAACAGAAAGCCAAATGCAAGCGGCAGTTCAAAAACCATAAACTTACGGATGCTAGAAACAATTACAAAACCCGCAAATGGAATGCGCGATAGAATTAATGGGCTCGAAAAGACAAAGGATTGGGACCAAAGTAATGCCTGGACCAAGAGCATGTTGAAAGTCGAAGACTAGAGAGCCAAGTGAACGTTAAAACACCTCGAAGCTCGACTTCAAGCTCCTGATGATAATATTACATTATTCACTCGGAATTTAGACTAACGGATAAATTATCATGGGAATAAACTTTGACATTAAGTTACAATATGCAGAATACTGGTTCAATTTGATAACCTGCTCATGCACTGAAGGCATAAAGCCCCTCCAGACTGTTCATTCAATTATAAAATTCTCCAATTAAAAGGATGCTCATTACAGCTTGCCTGATCAAAGTGAACAGCCGTCTTTACCGAAGATGAAGGTTAACTTTCCAAGCTATAGATGGAATTTATCCCTACCAAGATTCCTCTCTACTCATTGTCTCCGTTCTACCCGGTCCTTCAGTCCCATCAACCCATGGTAGCATGATGTGAAGAGGAACTTGTAGGAGATTGGTATCGTATTGTTAGTGAGCAAAGGGGGATAAGAGGTAATACGGTCTTCCTGGAGTGGAAGGCCTCTCATAGTGACTGCCCGGCTGTATGCTACCTTAGGTACAGTAAGGAGTGAGAGTGCCAAATGGGTGTGACTTACTTACCATTGTTAATCTAACACTACCATTATTATGTCGTACTATTCGACATGACTTTGACTCCAGTTCCTGCTATATTGCAACCATCACAGCAACGTGGTTGAGACGTTGTCGTCTATATACTACCAAACGACGACGAGCTGTGCTACGAGTTCCATTACAAGAACCATTTATCCGACCGCATCACCGACGTTTACATCTGCTGCGAATGTTGAGGTCTGGAGGCACGTCATCCTGAGGCTCACCCTTTACCATGCGCTACGTGTAAAGTCAGGAATGGGCTTTTCATAACCGATCCGGCCCATCCTGCTCGCCCACATTTCTGTGAGCCACGTAACACTCCTCGTGCTACTGCGAGACGCATGGTACTGGAAAGATGTAATAAGATCAGGCGTGCGTCCGCAGATCTCCATAGATCACCAGCGGCGGCGATGAATGTGATGCTAGCAAGGCTGAAAGAGCCGAGATTTGGTGAGTACCGTAGTTAATAAACTTTGTAATATAGGCACCGCTAAAATGAACTCTGTGCCCTATGCTGCCACGTCCGAGACTAAGCTTTATTTGACCACCCAATCCAATTGGGAATTTAGGAATTTAGAGCTTTATGAAAGAGAGATCGCTGTGTTCAGACGACTTCTCGGTTCAAGAGCGGAGAGCAATGGTGGAGCAATTTACCTCCCCCTCCGCAACCGGTCGAGAAAACTTCAAAAGGGCGATACGTCGAGCTCAAATTTATGCCATGAGTATTAATGCACAAACTCCTAGTCAGATTTTGGGTATTTCATATAACACTCGAGTAATCTACGCGTTAAATGAACTTCTATTTGAGGATCCTTCTTTGTGTTCCTGTCTTGCTGACAGGGAGAATTTCTTGCCTTGGATGATGGAGAGACGATCCTCTTAGAGAGTAGGAGCGGTTGTATTCAATCAGCTCACTCTCAGAAGCGTTTTCGTGAGTGGAACTGACATTTCTTTGAAATTTTCTGATCTGCCGTATTCAGGGTGATGGAAGATATAAGCAAATTCCCGCAGTGGTAAGGCGTGGAGCTTCGTCGCACTTCTACACCTTTATTAGAGAATTTGAAAACTCTTTCGCTATACCTCTGCTCTTCTCCTTCGTACCCGATGGTACCGAGGAGACGTATAGGAGGTTGTACTCCTGGTTTTGGCGTGGGACTGGTCCCCTTGGAGGTTACCAAGCTCTGACCCACCCAAACTGCAGGGTCATCTTGGATTTCGAGAAGTCGGCTATGGACGCAGTGTTAGGAGAGATGCCAGGAGTGCACTTGAAAGGGTATATTGTACGAATTTTCTCGAATAAAAACACTATTGACTGGATTCCTTATTCAGATGCTCCTTTCATTACACTCAATGCATTCTGCGGCATCGTGATGCCGTCAACTTGAGATCCGGGGCGAGCAAAAACAGGGTCATAGGAGTTTTGACTTGATGTTTTGTTAACTGCTGTTTTAACGCCGCAGTGCGCGAAGCGAAAGTCTCACAAGGTTGGCGATTTGTGGGCAAAACTCCAGTCTCGGACGGGACTCGAACCCGTACTTGTCCTTGTANAAGGACAAGTACGGGTTCGAGTCCCGTCCGAGACTGGAGTTTTGCCCACAAATCGCCAACCTTGTGAGGTCATAGGAGTGTTTTTCCGTAGAATTCAGGTGCTTTCTCTTTGCGACATTGGCATGATACCTGGGGTATTGGCAGTCGATTCGACCACACCTTGTGGGATCACTCGTCGAAAGTCGGCTCCCGAACCACTGATCATGCAGAGGGGTTCCACACTCGAATTAGCACAGCGTTCCCCAGAGAGACGCCTACACTTGCACAATATTTGGGGTTCGTTACGGGGCAATCAACCACTGCTAAGTCTTATGTTTCACCGGTGAGGAATTGGCAGCAGCCCCTTATATTAGGCCCCAAGAGCCTCAAAGGCAAATCGTGATTGCTGCTGAAATGGAGAGGTTCAGGGTTGCAAACGTCATTCCCAATATTGCCCCCACCACAAGACAATGTAAAGATTATTTAAATTTCTTGGCCCAGCGATTAGCGCACTAAACTCCCTACTACATCATCGCTATTGTTGTTGTGGCTCAATAATTCCACTAATGTATAATAATATAGAGATTTGCACATGCATTATGCAAAATGCATATGGATAATGGAAAAAGGAGAAAAACCACGTGTGAAAGAGTTATCCCTTGTTGTTGTGTCTTTTATTAACTGTAGGCGCCTATTGGTCGAGCAGTATTTTTTGGGATTAGTGGAAAAAGGAATGGGTAAAGATGTATTGTTTAAATCAAGGCCTAGCATGAATATGAAGTTAAATTTATTCCCATGTATGCACATAACTATACCACCAAGCACGGATTCTTGTTTGTATCCAATTTTAAATAGAATTCCCATAATTTCTTTCAACTTCTTGGTAAACGTTTCCATTCTAGAACCAGTCTTAGCAATTTTCAGTGCATCTGTGTGTTTAACAGAGGTTTTATGTGTAAATATTAGTATCACAGTGAGGAAATCTGATGGCATTGCAGATGAAATCATCAGTTTCATTATACCAGTCCGATCGCCCGGCTAACGCCGGGCTCTTCTCTTTCCGTGTGAATTTGGCCTGCTGCCTTCACCCTCCCAAACTTGGACGCTTCGGTGCAGGAGAACATGAACTATAAATGTCCGGCTAAACACACACACTTCGTGAGCGCCTTGCCCCTCACGAGCGGAATGCTGCTCAACTTGTGTGTGTTTAAGTGAAAAATTGTTCACTCCTTCTTCTTTATTCTTCAGCCGTGTCACCTGTCATCAGCACTCTCATACTGCAACCTGTACACCTATCGAATTTGTGCGATTTAGGTCCAACTTGAGAACTTTCACGCACCCTTTCCTCCTTGAGGGAGAGTATGGTTTGCCACCTGCCATAAGTGTTTCCATTCTGCCGCCTGTACTCCCACCCAATTTGAACGTTCAAGGCCCACGAGAGAATGTGGCATGAGTTTTCAGTCGGAGATACACGGACACACACTCCGTTACACACACATACACACACAGAACTATCATCTCTCCTGCCTTTTCTTCTCGGAAAAAGGGTAATGCGCAGCAGCTCTACCTATCGAGTAGTACAAATCGAAACTGGCCAATCTCGGCTGTCATTATTGATCGCTGCGCTTACAGCTATACCCCCCTCCCCCAACGATTCTTCATCGTCGTCGGAATTGCACCGTTCAAGGAAACGGAAGCAGAGTGTCCGCTGATCGGTCATTTACACAGAGGGTAGGTATAGCAAATTGGTATATCGGCCAGCATTCCCATAGCGTAAATCCTACTACACGAATACTCCACGTATGAAGGGAGTAAAGCTGTGGATTGACGGTGCATAACGTGGAAAGTTTCCAAACAGGTTGCCGGCTTCGAGCTCTACACTCTTCACGTAGTCCAGCCCTGCCGCCTGTTTCCCTTCTGAATTTGAAAGTTCTGACTCTAAAGGAACAATTTTCGCGCATGCTGTGCCCTCAGTAGATGAAATCTACACCTGGCTCCTGCCAGGGTGTGCGAACGAATTTTTGAGCACACCTAACCAAGCCTGCCTCGCACCTAGGCGCGAAGTGATCATAATTAGGTACGAAGACTACGCTATAATTATGCTGCTCGCACTCGCTACTAATCGAGTTAGGACTTCTCAACTAAAGAGGATAATGACAGTCTAAAAAATGGTGTTTCTCTTTAAACAATGAGTTTTTCGGAAGGAATCATTCCAATATCACTTTCGACGGTTTTGAGAGTTTTATTTACACGCATAACAAATAAGTTCAATATATTTCATTTTAAGCTCTTGGAAAATGGGTAAAACAGTTTAGTTCACTCCTTTTTTTCAGTATTTTCGCTTAATTGCGATATCAAACAACCTTTACAAAAGCGATGTAGCTCTCTAGAGTTTTCAATATTGGGACTACTCTTCACTGATAGGTCACTAAACGCTCTACGACTCACCATGGGGCCATTTCACAGTTTTTACGGCATTTAGCAAGTCTTCAGGCTAAATTCAACACCTTAAAGAGAGGTCATCGAGGACTATCTAACCAGTTGGGTGAGTGCTTTAATTACCACTGCTTACTTTTTAAGATATTACCATGTATTCTGGAAACACACTGTACTGTTTCGAAGAGTTTACAGGGTGTCGTCCCGCTCCGAACTACTTAGGAGTGCGCGATCCATGTGGCCCTTCCTCCACTGCCCGAGCTTTTCACTTTTGCTCCGGAAGCCCTAGCACTACAAAATAATTTTTTGGAAGTTCTGCGTCTGCGCAGCCTCCTCCAATGCAGCTGAATCCCGCATCACAACCTTCGCCCTACACGTTTCCTGCACCCCGTCTCTAGAAAGCATGGTAATGTCTTATAAAGTAAGGAGTGGCAGTAAAGCACTCACCCACCTGGTTAAATAGTCCTCGATGAACTCTCTTCAAGAAGCTGAATTAAGTCTTAAGACTTGCTATATGCCGTAAACTTGTGAAATGGCTTGAATGGGGAGCCGCAGAGCTTTCAATGATCTTTCAATGAAGAACAGTCCCAATATCCTCTGCAGTTAATAGGTTTCAACTCGATTAGTAGCAAGTGCGGGCAGCATAATTATAGCGTAGTCTTCGCACCTGATTAAGGTCCCTTCGCGCCTAGGTACGAGGCCAGCTTGACTAGGTGCGATCGAAATTTCGTTCCCGTACCCCTCCTGCCATAGTTATCGCATCATGCCCCCTGTATCCCTTCGAAATTCAATATCTGATACAATTTTCGTGCATGCCCCTCCCTCGGTGGGCGGACTCTATTCCTGCTACCGTCTCTCAGAGTTCTCTTCCTGCCGCATGTACTCTCAACAAATTTGAACGCTTCGCGTACACTGGAACAGGAGTTATGTACTCCCGTTGAAACTACTTATCTCAAGCCACACCCTCCTTGGGCGCAGTTCAGCTCAGATCATGTGTTCCTGAGTAGCTCTACTCATTCCCACTTGTTTCAATCTGAATAATCTGTTCCACTTCAACTTAAGTGTAGGCACGATATAAAGGATGACAAACACATCAAGAGACAAACATTTGGCGTACGAACATTTGTGGTTTATGTATAAATAGCAGCTGGATACCGTTCGAGGACTTTTTTAAAATAAACTCTAGCAGTTTTTGGTGGAACTTAAAACAATTCGGAACATTCTCGAATGATCGACTTCATCACCGCCCACCGTGGAGCAAACCCTGTCCACATCGAGAACTTGGCGGCATTTATTCAGTAGCCTCTTACCACTTTCTTTCCACGTATCAAAACTTTTTTAACAAGGCAATGAATTTTTCATCTTAGCTTCACCCACCTTGGCGAAAACCCCGCTTACTTTGTAGTTTTGACCACAGTTTCACATTAGCCTCTGACCACCATTTTCCGCTCTGTTCCTGAACAGTGATATAATACATTTCGCAAAAACCACCCGCCATTCGAATGACGCCCTGCCCATCGAGCTTCGCTGAGTTAAGGGAAGGCCAGCACTAATACGGCCTTGCATACTCGTTCTATTTTCTTTTGTAGTGATCAGGCTTTGTTGGGGCAAGTTATGAACTGATATAAAAGTACCACACACTTTGGGGCTTGGAGTAGGCTCGGAACACAGCAGGTGGGGCTACTTCATCCGATTTGTTGAACCATTCCTTACCTTGATCTACTTTTTCCGGTTTCGATGCTTTTTTGAAAATGAAATAGGACGCTGGTCTCTTGGCCCCGCCCGTTCCAGCGCTTGCCGTGCCCCTTGCGGATCGAGCTCGCAAGCCTGTTATGTGCTCTGTCTACTGATCTTGTTCTGGGCACCCACCCATCCCGTACTGGACCTGACCTCAGTTAAAATCGGATTTCGCGGCGCACCAAACTTGTGGATTATACATAATAAGGATAGTTTGATATTGATCTTCTGGCGGCCATAAGGGCATAGCACAGTTAAATACACGAAACTCTCACCACAATGGGTGCGCTTCCAAACAGAAAATACCCTCTTTACGAGAAATCATATCTATACTCAAGAACATTCCTGATTGCCACGCCCCCATGAGCGTGATCTAGCTCATCTGGAATAAAAGCAGAAGGATTCTATGGAAGAATCTTGACTTTTCATCAATAAGTCACGATTTTCTGTTCGAAGTGGATGGTATTCAGTAGCTCACACACTGAACCCAGTGGCACCGCTCAAATGCATAGCAAAGATATCCCAAATGCAATGAAGGAGCGGTCCAGAAGCCTCAAAAATTCTCATACAACATGACAAATGTCTTGCTATTCAAGTTGAGTGCATGTAGGCGGTATATAGGCGCGTGGCTGCTGTCAACCCTGCTCTCAACTTTATCGATGAGTTACACTTACTTTCCTCAGTTTCCTAATTGTTTATTTGTCCTAATTCGCTCGCTCTGGTAGAAACTTGCTTGTTCTGAAGCCAGCTTCCTCTTATGTTAGTACTCGATTGTTGGCCGTTTTCTGCTGAACGATCGAAACTCCGTTGGATTGATTGTTTTTTTCCGGATCAGAGAACAAAGTCAATTTGGAATTATGCCGACCACACGTCGACAAATCAAGGTAGCTATCCCAAAAGGGCAAGAGTCGCCAGCTAATTCGTCAGATAGTCAGGTCGTTGAGAAGTAAGAGTTGAACCCATCTCACAATCAGTGTGATTATTCCATAATGTCTATTTCAGAGCTGTTAGTCGAGATCAGGGACTCGAAAACGCCTTTGGAAATCGCAGACGGGATTGAAAGTGAGAAAAGAGCGCATACTATTATTTTGTCTGCTTTACCTGACGCTTCGGTTAACCTCGCACCTTCACAAAAACAATTTGACTTGGAGGACAAGGCAGCCAGTATCCTGGATATGTTGAATGCAGACCGGCCGAAATGTGCCGTATGGGAAATTGAGTGAAACACGTCCTAGAAAAGTGAAGGTGGTTTTAACTGCACGGCCACATTGGCGTAGCGCGTTATCGAATTCATACAAACTGGGCGCGAATGTATTTCCTCATGTCCGGGTTTGTAAGAGTATGACTGCTGAAGAGCAAAGTCACGAATATGAGTTGAGACAAGAATGTAAAGCACGTAACAACAGGTGCAACAGCGAAGTTTGGTTGTCCACCGAGGCGAGTCGAGACGCTCCGTAGATCCAAACAGTAATATTCGTCAGGGAAACGTTCCCTTTGTTTCGGGTAATGCACGATCTGAGCTGCTTTTCATTCAATTCTCGTAGTTTGTCAAAAGAAATTGATTATCTTCACAACTTCCTTGATTCATATTCACCTGATTTGGTATTTATCACAGAAAACCGGTTGTCCCCGCATATTCTTAACTCTGAAATCTTTTGTGATCCTCCTTACAAAATTTTCCAATCCGACCGCACGGGACGAAAGGGTTGTGGGGTATGTCGTCCTTATAAAGATTTTCTCAACTGACGAGTTATTGCACCACCACCTTCCTTTGGCTCGCTGCGTGCGAATGTTTCATGCTTTGAAGGTTTCAGTCTATTAACTTCGCTTCCTCTTGGATTTGATCTGGTCTACCGTCCTCCTGGGTCTTCTGTTGCTGGTGATGAGAAATTGCCTGAGGTTCTTCTCTAACTTCCTTCATCTAAAAGCCACTTGATTATTTTGGTTTAATTCGACTTATGGTGATTGGACCACCGGTACAGCCAGAAATGCTTCATCGGTAAGGTTTCTTGATTTGTTTAGCAAATGCTCGCTTTCTCAGTATGTGCCAGGTCCTACTCGAGATAGTTCCATCTCAGACATCATACTCTCGTCGTCGCCTACTATTAACTAGTCTCCATTTTACCGCCCTTTGGATCCTCAGACCATCATGTCATCTCTTTTTTCCTTCTAGTTTCTGTTCAGGTCAAGAAATCAGATAGCCTTTCCCTGACTTTCAAAAGAGCTAACAGAGGGTTGACTCTTTATTTTTCTTCCAAAAGCTGGTGAAAATATTCCGAAGTTTACCGTACGATCGATGAACACTACGGAAGATTGTGTCGATTGTACATATAGCGGACTAGCGGAGTTTGTACCTTTCCATTTTTCTTGCTCTAGGACGAAACCTCGATACCCGTACGTATTCACTTCTTGATATCACAGGGGGGTAGATTGTTCGGAAAATCTCAGAACCTTTCCTCGAAGCTCGAATACGAAAGAGTGTGTTCGAAGAGTTGCCTGGCATATAGTAGAAAAAGGCGTGCAGCAGCTACTCTTAACTGGGAGTCTATATTTGCTTTAGTTGAGAAAAAAATAAAAGCAGTGTCTAAGTTACCAGCATTAAGGAATGATGAGGATAACTTACACCTTAATGATGATGACAAAGCAGAAGCACTAGCTGATTTCTTGCCTCGCTTTTCAACTCTTGCTGAAACTACATCACCCCGTGCAGTATCAGACTTGCTTTATCCACCCTCTTCTTCTGGAAGACGGGCGTTAGAAACGATTTTGGGTAATCGATTCGCCGCACGCGGCTGTCGCGGACCACTCATTCGCCATTATTACAGCTCTAGCGTTCTTCCTACAGCTCAATCGATATGCGATTATTATTTTATGCACAATTCTACTATTAGTACTTTTTTTCTTGTATTTCTCACCTACTGCTGCATCCTGCTACATTCCTTCGCGCGCAACGCCCTCTCACCGCGACGCGACCATTTCGTTCCTAATGCACCACACCCTCTTCTTCTCTGAACGATGTTAGTATCTATCCCGATGAAGTTTTGCATAAGTTTTGCACTTTTGCTAAAGTTGTTCTTAGGGCATCACTCCTCAGATGTGAAATAAAGGTGGTTCCAGGAGTCTCATATTAAGCCGAACATGACGCAATTACAATGATTATATTTATTATGAGCTTTCAACTCTGCAAACGCTAAAAGATACCCGAATGTTCAACGACCTAGAGTTTGAAGTGCTTGAGGGTCCCTTTCCTTGATATATTGGTTATTGATATATTGAGGGACTTCACCTTAAGATCTCTCCCGGACGGGTCCCTCACTCGCGAGGGACTTCCGCCTATCCTCGACGAGACTGCAGCATTATTTTCACCACTGCCAGCCCTTGGAATGTCGACAACAAGAGGTGGCGGATCGAATCGATGTACAGTCGCAGAAGGCGATTGTTCCGGCAGAGCGTCCATGAGAGCAGCACTCCCCGTCAGGGCCCCGCTATCGGCTACGGGCTGCTTAAGTACCCATAGAGGCGCGGGGCGGGACACGAGAAGGATCATCATGAACGGAGTTCATGACACCACCGGCAAAGCGAAAGAAATTACGCAATAAGCGACGTGGCTTCCTTCCCGGTTTTTTTTCTCAAAAGTGAGGTCTGATGACAGATTTCTTTTGGGAAGGGAATGAATCGAAATGACATTACAATATCATATAAGACTAGAATAGTACGTAAATTCTGCTAAACAAGAGACCCGTTCACGATACAAATACAAACACTGATGTTAATATAAAAATAGTAATGAATCATCATGCTAATTCAATCGTATCTATATATCAAGAACAATTCAAGAACAGTATTTATGTAGTGACCTTCATATTGTTTATTGTTTATTGTTTAGTACGTCATTCGACAAGCCGTCAAAACATGAACATGATGCGTAGAGACAAAAACTCAAACTGAAGGACTAATTACCATAACAAGTCAAAAATCAATGTCGAATGAGTCAAAAATGAAACAAGAAGCACCTGCTCGGAGTGGGACCCCACATCAGCCGGCTATGATGCCCTTCGCCACAACCGGGGTCATAGGGACTACGCCAAAACTTCGAGACACGGGTTTACCGGCCACCCACGTGGAATTGGCAAGCCGGGGTAGCACTGAAGCCAGATACTACTCGCAAGCAAAGCATATAACACCAACTGTGAATGGAGGGTCCTCAAGTTGTGTAGTGACCAAATAATTTGTTTCACCTCTGGTCCTCACCAGCTTAGTCGTCATGCAAACACAAGAATATAAGCACAAATAGGTACAAATAAAAGTGTCTGCACATACACAGAATAGGACACAGTAATTGTAATGGAGTAGTTGAACCATTAATAATCGAGAAGCAAGACATATATAAGAGCAGCGGCAACGATTCTACATGCGAGGAAAAGCATTTCGTGACACCACAACCACCATGCACCAGAAATAGCCAAGTAACTCCCTCATTAGCTGTGTACTTTTATGCGCTAGTCGACAGTTTTCCTTAGCTGTGCTCGGAACTGTAATGAAGATTCACATAAAAGAAAATTATGCGGCAGTAAACGTATCCAACGCGCGAAGCGGAAAAAGAAAGAATTGAAAACAGTAGTGAAACAACTTCTCTGCAGCCTCCTATAGTGAATAGAATATCCATTTCCACTCCTTCGGTATGGCCGGAATATTCAGAATTTACTGGCTTGCAATTTAATTTCTCGTTTGATGATTCGGAAGCCAAAAACTAGATCACTGATTATATGTCTATACTTTGAACTTTTCATGCTTAACCTGTCAAGCCTGTCTTTGTAAGGTGGGAGAGCCTGTGGATAATTAAGATTAGGGAAGGAACGATAAAACACAATTCTCGTAAAGATTTTTTGTACTCTCTCTAAAAAATGTACATGTTTTTTCAGGAAAGGGCCCCACAAAACAGAATCATATTCTAATTTGGGTAGTACAAAGGTTTTATAAAGTTTAACTAGTAGAGCAGGATCTTTGCTATGGACATTCCTCAGGATCACAAGAAGTGAACTGAGATCTTTCCTTGCAATAGCAGTGATATGGTCATTGATGCTCAACAAACTATCTACTGGAAGTCCAAGGTCGTTGACTGCAGATTCTCCTCTTATTGACGCACCCGCAATCTGGTATGACCTTGGTGAACAGGAGCCTAGGTGCAACTGAGTGGTTTTAGCAAGGTTGAGTGGGATATCCCATTGATTACACCAGTCCAACATCTTCTCTATGGCTAAGCTTAACCACTTATGTGACGCAGCTTCCTCATGGCTGGCATAAATACAATACACTCTGATATCATCTGCAAACATTTTGATGTTGACACTTGGATGGACTTCGAGGGCATTCGGCAAATCGGCAGTGTATATTAGAAATAACAGAGGAGAAAGGGCCCCACCTTACGGGACACCACTGGTGCAAGGAATCTTTTCTGAAAACTCATTCCCGACCTTGACCGTCATATACCTCTCCTCAAGATACGAACCAAGCCAGGCCCGAAAACAACCATGAATACCCAGAGCGTCCAGCTCTCTGACAAGTTTGCGATGACATACTTCATCGAAGGCCTCGGTAAGATCAAAGTAAATAACATCAAAGAATTTCCTACTGTTAAGGGCTAACAGCCACTCATAGAGCGAGTCAGATAAGAGCGTCATAGTAGAGACTGCGGGCATAAAGCCATGCTGCTCAACTGGTATACCCCCTCTTCCCTTCAGCCAAACAAGTAACTTCTCACAAATAAGTTTTTCAAGGATTTCCCCGCCACAGGACAAATACTAATCGGTCTGAAATGAGATGGCTTACTAGCGTCGGCAACCTTTGGAATGGGAGTTACCAATGCATTCTTCCATATACTGGGGACTCCACTGAATAAAAGTGATGCATACAATATAAACGCGACGGGATACTGGAGGGCATAACAACACTTTCGAAACACAATCTGGGGAATGCCATCATAGATAGCCGAATACGAGGAGTTCAACCTCTTCATAATCCTTAGCACGTCGCAGGGCCGAATGGTAAAGTCTGGAAAACTATCGGGTGGATTGTGACTAGCAGGCAGATCGAGTTGGTCGACTCTGCCTGAACCGTGTTCACATCTGTTAAACACAGCAGCAAAATATTTACCAAGGGTTATGCCTTTGTCTCTATTCGAAATAAGAGGTTGTCCATTTTCGTCTACCATGACCGAAGGGTTGGGGGACCCATCAATTCTTTTTCTAAGATGTACATAGAATGCACAGCTTTCCGATCCCATAAGTGACGCTCCCGATAGGCTAGATACTTTTTAATGTGATGGTTAATGTCAGAGCATACCTTTTTGAAAAGGTTACTGGAGAAAGGATCATGCAGTTTACGGAAAAGCCTTCATTTCTGGTCGATCAGATTTCTTATGCGTTTTGGGTATTGTTGCCCACCACCTATTGAATAGCGGAAGGGTACCAATACTGAGAAACAGTCATATAAAACCATGCAGAATCTGCGGTATAATTCTTCAACCGAATCAAACCCATCAAACAGTTGATTCCAGTTCACTGCGTTCAGGGAGTCACCAAGCGCATCATAATCTACTCTGCTGAAATCAGGCGTGGGTAGGTAAAATCTCTCATTAACCATAAAGTCCAGTTGGAACTCAACAATATTATGATCAGAGTTCCCAATAGGAGGAAGTGTTTCGATATTCTCAATCGAGACTCTTGAGGTCAGGATCAGATCCAAAACTGAATCCCCTCTGGTACCTGACAGAACCCACTGCTTCAGTCCACAACACGAAAAGACCTCATTAAACCGAAAATCTGTGCCTGTGTAGGCGATGTTATTCTTCCAATCAACACTCAGGTTGAAGTCACGAGCGATCAATACGGGGTGGGCAACTGATAAAATGTCGGAGAGAGCGTTAAGCAGCAAACCGTCATTTTCAAATGAAGAAAATGAGTGCGGCGGCCGATAAACAAGTACGAATCGTATAGGTTCAGCAGTACATTCAGAAACAATATCAAAACATAGTACATCAGAAAGTAGACCTGTGGACGGCGTCAAGCATGTGCTTACAAGAATTTAGTTTTTGATAATGGCACAAACTCCTCCACCTCTCCCATGACTTCCATCTGATCGCAAAATAATATAATTCAAACCTCCCAGAAGTTCCGAGTCCAAAATTTTTTTGTCAAGCCAAGTTTCAGTGATCAAAAGCATGTCGGGATTGCGAATAGTCAGTAAGGAGTGTAACAGGGGTATTTTATTAACTAAGCTTCGTGAATTTAGTAAGTAACACGAGATCAGAGAAGAAGCCCCATGCGTCATTGCCGGTTTCCCGGTTTCTGTCTGGATGGCATTTCACTGGCTTTCTTCAGCTCACCTTTAAACACTACCCAATCCTTTCTATTTGCAGCCTTGTTCCGCTCGCGGGCCTCTTGCCTTAGTTTGGCTTCCGCTTCTCTTTCCTCAGGTGACATACTACGTCTTATGAAAACTTCAGACATCCCTGACTGTCTCAACAAACGTGCATTAGCAATAACTTTCCGCCAGTGGCTCCTAAAAGGCAGTATGACTTTCACTAGCCTGTTTTTTGATTCATTATACATACCCATCCGGTATACAGTCTGCGACCTACACTCAACATCAAGAATGTCCAATATACATACCTGTAATCTTGTCTTCTAACTTACTTTGTCGTCGTGAAGCCGGAAGCTCACGAGGTTCTTCCGCTAATCCAGCAACGACTACACTTCTACTATTTCGGTCTTCTTCAATAGTATTAGAAATTGTGTGGACTATCTTATCCTGTAAAGCATGAATCATCGCTGTAATTACTGGGTCAGTGTTCCGTTTCAACATTGCATCTAACAGATCAGAGACCGAGCAATTTCGATAGTCGATGGTTTCGCATTGAATGGACTGATCAAGTACCATACCGGCAACTTTTCGCGATTTCTGAGGCACCCTTTTGAATTTTGTGAAGGTCTTTTACCAGCCATATCTACAGCTACCAAGAACTAAGAGCAGACAGTTCAATTCACTATCAAAACTCCACGTAAGCCGCTCTTTAATTCGCTATCAAAACGCCACGTAAGTCGAATTCACGTGGTGTTAATTCAAAAGCGTTGAAACCACCAAAACAAGTGTCGTTGTTGACCCGAAAGACCTAAAGTGGTTGCAAAATATCTCAGCGTGGAGAGTTGGTAATCAACAAGAAAAAAGTTGGATTTCATAGAAAATAGCAAATTCGACTCACGAATCACCAACTCCCGCGGTAGTTGTCAGAGCCCAGAAACACGCAACCGCACGGTACGGATGCAGACACGTGGAATGAAATATTATTGCGTCATAGAGGTCTCTTTCCTATGTAGGTGTTGTGGTGTTATGGTAGAGCAAGGCCATGTTGGTAATACCTTATTTCCTGTAGGTTATGAGATTGATTTTGACTTTGACTGTATTGACCACCCGTAGCTAAAACTATTTATTTGCCTCTCGTCAAGACTTTTATAGTCAACAAAGGTGGGAGGTTTAACACCATAACCGACCTAACGAATAAAAAATGCATCAAAGTGCAATCGTAATAGGATAAATGACGAATAAATTTGAATTGAAAGTTTGAAAAAAGTGATTGAATTGAGAACACAAACACAATTCAGATTGAAAACTTGAATATTGAAGAAAAAAGGGAAATTGAGATTTGAAGACTTAATAGAGAAGAGTACAACTGAAAAATTGAGACTTGAAGGAGAGATATTGAAAATTGAGAATTGAAAAAAATTGAGAACTTGATAAGTTGAAATAAGAATTTGAGGAGTTGAAAAATATTGAAAATGTTGAAGATCAAGAATTACCATTGAAATTTGTATGGGCAGAATGCACTATGATGATTGTCGCTTCTGTTAGCGTTTCTACAATAAAAACAAAAGCTGGGACAGGACGTCGCTAGGTGGTCGGCCTTAAGCAGGCCGCGCTCGCACCGGTTCCGCCCGTAGATTCGATGTCTGCGGTCGGAAAGGGTGCGGAAACGCGTACAACCACTGGTGTGTCGATCATCATCACACAATGCACAGCGTAGCTGCTGGTGTGGTGGACCCTCCACCTGGTGGCTCGGTCTTGGTTGGGGCGAGCCCTGGCGTGGCGGTGGTGTTGCCAGCTCCCGGATCTCCTTGAGCACTTCCATGCGGTTCTGGAGCTCTTGCATGAGGCCCTTCTGTCATTCGTAGACTCGTTCCGACCCACTGAGGGTGCGATCGTGTGCTGTTTTGATTGCGAAGTTTCGTTGGTCGGCCACATTGAGGAGTGTCTGAAGTGAAAGTTATAAGATTGATATCATCGCCCCGTGGGCAGGTTTTCCCCTTTCTTTTTGTTTTTACTAGTGAGGCACTACCTCTCCACGTCGAGCTGATCGTCGACTTTTCAAAGGTCCCTTCGGGGGATATCCGCTTTTGGGCCTGTTGTTCGGTAGTGTCGACTTCTTAATATGAGGTTTTTTTCTAAATAGATGTGGGAGAACTTGAGTTTGAATATAAACTTGAATTAAATGTAGTGAATGTAGTGTTAAAAGAATTGAATCAATTGAGACAATTGTAATTGAGAAATAGGATGCTCACGAAAGTGCTGTTAACTCGATTCTTAATCGATTGTAGTTCTTAATCTCCCCAGGTCTATTGATCTTCCTGTGCACCATGGACAGTTCCTCGGCCTGAGACGGTCCGCGCGGTTCATCAAATGGCTGCAGCTCTTCTATGGGTGGGTGGCGAGGAGGCTCTTCTTGTTCCTGAGGTGGCGGTGGATTGATGCTGACGTTGACTTCTTGGGCTTCATCTTGAACAGGCTCCACCGGTATTTCCTCCTGACCTTCTTCCATGGACTGCCTGCGGTTTTCTTGATTCATCTCTGAAAAGATGTTTGATAAAAAGAAGTGGGAATCTCCCTTCGTGACAGTTGAAGTACGAGCAATTTATAGTGCTGAGGTAAGAATAATCTTTGATCAAATTATACTAATATTTTCGAAGAGACAAATTTACGCGAAGGAGCAGAGTAAAAGGAAAGAATAGAACGTAAATTCACTGTGGAGCTATTGCCGACCATATTTTCTGACAAGCAGGGAGAAGAAAACACAGTAGGGCAGATGGAAGAGAATTTCGGAACCTTTCTTAAAAAGATGAAAAAGAGCAGAAAACTCCGGCTACCGGAGGGAATAAGAATGTGACTGGTAAACTCGTCGAAGCTGTTCGTTTCGCAGTTGTTTTGGTTGCGCAGAGATATGCAGCAATGATAAAGGCGGCAATGGGAATGCTCATGAGAACGATTACGGTATAGAGGTAGATGCTTCTGCAAATGTTAATAAAGTGAGATACATCAGAAAATTCCCAGTCTATAGCCAAAGAGCTGTGAACCGACTCTGCCGATTGATTCCATAATTTTAAGTTTTTTCAAAACGGTTCCATACCGTTGATGTAATTGAGGGTTCCCTTGAGTTCCGAAATCGTTATTTGCTCTCCACATCGCACGCGACATTGTTCGTTTACGCGCACTTTGTTGAAAAACAGTCGTACTTGGTTTTCTGTCGCTTTCCGTGGGCATGTTAGCACGAACTGTTGATTACCGCATGAGGCTTGCGCGGTTGCGCGTGGTACGTTTGCCGTACATTTTATTGTGCTATCGTGCCCTCGTAGCAGTTGTAGCAGCCACTGAAAGCGGTTGCGATCACATCGCATTCAAAATGAACCACTTTTCTTGTCATTCGTGCGATTGTTGAATCGAGTTGTATGGCTAGCACATGAAGAAGGACTTGATTTGAATTTTTGGTAACTGCTTGGGTCCCGTTACTACAACTCCATTTGGGATGGGTAATGGTAACACATGTGAGAGATGATATACGTGCGATATGTTATTCTGTGTACAACAGTACGATATGGAATCTTCAGCCGGATTGCATTTGCAGGTGTCCTTTATGCTGCACTGGTATGAGGAATTGAGATTTGAAGGTTTGGATGTGCAGGCATAACTAAATGTGACGTCGACATCTATGTAAGCCGTTGTCTTGTTATTGCTGATGAAGCGCTTGTATTGAATAGAGGTTGGTGAGAAGTTGAGGTTGGTTACTTCGATTGTGGCGCTGTCAAATCGGCGCTGTCAAATCAAAACCTTTATGAGGTCTGGGTTCTCCTGTGATTGTTCTTTGGTTTTGTTGAGTGTCCACTTGCTCTAGTTTGAACTTGACGGTTTTATACCAAGAGGAGCACTAAAAAACTTCATAGATCACATCATCTGTTGGGACATGGTAAATCCTGTAGAAAAGGCATCCAGAAGAGGGGACTCCGCATGAATATCCCCATCCTCCGCATGATTCTGTACAGTAGGTGATTCCTGTGGAGTTATTCGCTTACTCAGGTCCCTTTACGAGTGTATCTGGCGATATCCCAGCGCATTTAAGTCCAACACACGAACCCCTGTGTGGACATCTCTTGCTGAACTGTACTTGAGTTTCTGTGTTTCAAGTGAAGTACAGCGTTTCCTTTTGACATCTCAATATTATTTCATCTACTGCAATTTTCATGAGATGTGTTTGAATCTCCTTCTGCTTGGCTTGCAGGCATATTTCAGACCGTATGGAGTTGAGTTTGACAATGAGTGTTGAGCGATTATTGCATTTGTGATCCTTCTGATCGCATTGGTTGAGTGTTTATGGTATGAGTATTACTTGTTGGCACTCATAAGTTGTCGGGCAAGGGCACTAATGGCTAGAAGCCTTATAAATGTGGAAGTTTTCCATTTCCTATTGTGAGTACTGTTATTTTCTATTAAAGGAATCTCTTCGCCTGATGGTCTTCGTTGAGCTTGTAGTCATGATAGGCATGAACTTTGCGATAAACTGGCTTTGTTCCAAACACCTTTGCATGCTCTGCCTGCTCTCCTTATCGTGTGTACCTGAAAGTACACTGTAATGAGGATACAGTAGAACAACGCTGCTGCTACTACAATTGCTACCCTTGGCCAGCATTCTGGATTTGTTATCATCGGTGTGCAAAATGTGCAGGTGATCTGTTCGCAAAATGGGCTAGGAGAGCAAGCCCAGTGAAACGCTTGTGCATTATTGAAAAGTAATGTTTTGACTAATATGTGGTACGAATGCAGAGTGATTACTGCTGGAAATTGGACTTTGATAATTTTGTCTGGGTGGTCTCTTTCTAAGCAATAATCATCAGCGCAAACATGTATTTTATCTTGTTGTTGTTGCATCTTGATGATTATGCCTCCTTTCGTGCGCTGTATTGCGCTTTCCTCGTTCTTTGCGCTCGCTCTTGATTGAAAGGCTCGTCAATAATGCAAGCATGAGCCAGTGTTGATGAAAGGTAGGGGATCGATTCCTGTTTCTGTGGTAGTTGTGTACTCTAACGGCAGTTACGTGATAGTCTTTGTTTTCCTTCGCGCGGCGTGGTAGCCATGGTCGAGTTCGCTTGACCGTGCGATCGTCTTGGAGGTTTTGAATTCCTTGATTAGGCGTGCTTTGGACATTGTTTGAATTTTGAGGTTGATCAGTCGATTGTTGATTGGTGGTTGATCGTGAATCCTTGATGCTATTATGAAGTCGACTATCATCTTCTATTTCTAATGGAATGAGGAAGTTAATTGATCTTGTAACAAGAGATTTTGCTGTTTTTAACCAGACGGTTCGGACGGCACCGTCTTGATCTTGAATCAATTTGGTGACTAACCCTAGTGGCCATTCTCCTCGAGGTGAATTTTCATCCATGATGAGTACCACTTCACCCATATGTGGCTGTTTTCTTGTGAACGATCTTGAGTTTATGGAAATTTCGTAATTCTAATACGTGTTCGTCCAGAACTTCCACAAGCTCTGTAAATACTCCAACTGTGTCTGAAAATGTTGAATAGCTTGTTCCCTAGTTGAAATTATTGGTAAGTACTCTTGATCGCATTCGCTGTTGTCCGCAGATGGAAGAAGATTGATACTTGCGTAGGGTATAATGAAGTCTATGGGGCGAATAATGACTGAATCGTCTACCGTTCTACCGGGGTATGCGAGTGGGTGGGTGTTTACTATAGCTTCGCATTCTGGTATAACCGTAATAAACTCGCTTTCTCGCTTCCGTGCTAGTTTTCTTAGAATTGACTTCATTATTCCTATCATTCGCTCGTAGAATCCCCCTTTCCATGGAGAGAGTGGAGTGATGAATTTCCATTGGATCCCTTCGTCTGAGAGAAAACTGTTAACTGATTGCATGGCAACATCAGTTCGATCAGTTAACGTTTCTATTATTTCACGTCCTAGAGTGAAATTAGTTGCATTATCGGATATTATTAGTGTTAGCTTTCCTCTTCGTGCGATAATGCTATATCGGCGGAGACCGTTAAGAAATTCTATCGCACCTAAATTATATATTATATTATATTAATTTTATCAAATCATTGACGATTTCTAAATGCACTGCTCTTGTGACCATGCATGTTGAAAGCGGGATCCACCGCTTTGTTTCCCCGTTTCCTTCGTTGACTACTTGAAAGGGACCGACGAGGTCGATGCCGACGTGCAAAAAGGGCCGTGATGGCTCCGTTCGACAATGTGGTAGCGGTGGAGATTCAGGGTGGAAAAAAAGTTTCGAATTCCATCTTTTGCAGATTAAGCAAGATTTCAAACATTTCTTGACTGTCTGTCGTCCTTTTGGGATCCAGTAGTTGAGACGTTACTTAGCCAAAGTCCCATTCACTCCTTGATGCCCACAACGATTGTGGTTGTCTTTAACAATCAATTAGTAAAGTCATCAGTTTTTGGGAGTAGGATGGGTTCTTGAGTTGCTTTTGCTAAGTGTTTGACTCGGATTCGTCCACGACGTCTAATAACCCCGTTTTCATCTTTGTACAGTTGTAAATTGATGAGTTTCACGAGCTTTTCCCGTGAAAGCGTCGCTTGGGCCAACTTAATCAAATTTATTTCTGCCGTGAAGAGATCGGCTTTCTGTAGCGTTGCCAGGGGTTGGCATGCCGTTACCTGGTCAATTCCTCGTATTGCATTCTTCATTAGCTTCTTATTTGAAATCGAGACTTAATCGAATATCTGAACTTTGAGGAATTTCATTACTAAAGCAAGAATTCTTTTGTATTTGGAGAATGATGAGAATGCTCTGTGGAAAAGGGATTGAGGATTTTCTGTATTTGCGTTTACTGTAAGAATCGTATAGGACAGGTCTTCTAGGCTAGAACTTATCTTCTGGTGATAACCAAGAGAATTCTTACAATTCTGACCACGTTGATTTTTCATCGAGAAGGAAGGAAGGACCCATCCACCACATGTGTGTTTTGGGTTGATCTTTCGTTAAACCTTTTGTGGCACAATCAGCAGGATTCATCTCTGATGGTATGTAGTACATATGGCATGTCACTTCTCTGTGTGGACAGTTTTGATTTTGGTTCTAATTTCTTGACATCGATTGTTGACGAAGGTTCTGTGCTTAGTGTTTGGTTGAACCCAATCGAGAACGACCTGTGAATCACTAAAGATATAAACGTCTTTCAAGGGCAAATGCGTCTTTTGTATCCCAAAATTTGTTAAACGGACTCCGATAAGGAGGGCCAATAATTCTAATCTTGGGATTGTTACGGTCTTTGCAGTCTTATTGATTGGGGGTGTGGTGCGATTCACGCATCAATATAATGAGGTCATCGGACAAAATGCGCTGATACATCACTCCTACCATCATAACGGAAAAAAAGAAGAAGTCATAAGTAGAATAAGCAAAGAAATGACCAACTATGCAGAAGGATTGCGTTTTCTAGGATCAAAAATTTGAAGTTATTCTTATTTCAAACGTTTGGCAAGTAAATTGTTGACCTGTGAGGTGAATTCTTAATTTCGAAGGGTTTTTTCACCATAGTACAGAGATTCGCTGTATTCGTAATGAAGCCGTGCACTACTGCAAATTTATTTGCATCTCAACAGAAAGGTACTGCTGCGATGAGCTCTAATGGGGTCACGCGTGAATTGCGCGCCCCCCACTGATTGGTGCCAGACTTTGCCTCGCCATAAGCAGACTGCTGTGTGTAATACCGTCGTCATTGATCGTACGCAAATAAGCTGCAGCCGCGAATGGCCGCAATGACGCGTCATTGAATGTGAGCAGCTCGTATCTATTGTTTGCCTCAAAGTTCGTGATGGCGCGAGGGACTGACATATCGAAGCCCATTGCATTTCCACAGATTGTTCGCCACTCCCGTTCCAGATCGGGGGGGGGGGCAAAACCTCGTCCCATGTGTAGTTATGCTTCCATAGATCTTGAAGAAAGAGTTTTGCAGGTAAAAGTAAAGGGATAAGAAACCCCAAAAGGTCGAATGTGGAGTGTGCTACTTGTAATACTTTACGTTTCGTAAGCACTGAGCACGGTTTGAATTTGCATTTGACTAAGAACGAATCCTGTTGACGGTTCCATGGATTCCCAAGGATTTTGACTAATTTACTGGTTGACAAATTTTCGGGTTTGATTGATTTATTGCAAATGTCGTCATTTGAAACGAATTGACGTAGATTCATAGACATGTTATTGAGTAGCATTTTGGACATTCGATATTTATTGATTGAGTAATTATTGAATAGTTTTTTGGACATTCGATATTTATTGATGAGCGAATGAGTGGAATCGTCTGTAAGGAGAACGTTGTAGACGTAGAGGTTATCATTGAGTTGTTTTTGAGATTCTTTGTAAGGCATTGGTTGGAGATGCATTTATTCCAAATGGAAGTCGACAGAAGCGTAATATTCTGAGGTTTTGAGGTGATGGTGGTTCTTCTACGTTTCTGAGCCATAAAAATCGAACGGCGTCATTCTCCGTTTCTTATAGAAGTACCATGTAGAATGCCTTCTCGACATCCGCAATCAACACTTCAGACCCTATTCTGAATCTCAAAAGTATGCCACATAGATTAGGTAGTATAAGAGGCCCTTGATGGATAACGTCGTTGAGGCTCAATTCTCCTTTCATTTTTGCCGATGCATCCAGAACGATACGAGTTTTTGTTGTTGCACTATCTAGCTTGATAACTGCTAGATGGGGTATATAGTAATACGGGGTTGAGCTATGTTTTGGAGAACGCGGTGCGTCTTCAGTGAAATTCTTTTCGAGTTGTTGTTCAATTATGCCGCAGTATTCCTTCCAGCATTGAGGGTTATGTTCCTTTATTTTGAATAGTTGATGAAGTCTGCTCAGGGCAAGTTTGTAGTTACTTGCGAGACGGTTTTTATTTGATTCCCAAGGGAAACGCACGAATATTTTGTTGTCTTTGATTTCTACCGTGGAGTAAAACTCTGCTACTATTTGGGTATTGATGTCCTCTTGTGATTTCATATCTTCTAAACCGATTGCGTTGAGTCTCCGAACTCAGAAATGTCCATCTCGTTTTGACTTAAGTTGAACGCCGTGCATGTCTGCATACCAATATCATTATCAGACTGTTCGTGATCATCATGTGCTACTCCTGAGAGTATTGGTCCGAACATGGTCGGTGTAAGGAACAGTCCGGAAGGTAGTTGAATCACAGGTTTATGAAGCTTCATAATTGTGCTGAAGTAGTCCATACGGAGAAGTGTTTCAGGGACAACTGTTCCGCTGAGCCCGTGCAGGATACGTTGAGCCTCGTCGTTTAGGAGATGTTCTCTAATAAAGATCTCGCCCTGATGAGGTATGGGACCCACTTGAAGAGGGGGTGTTAGTTGATCACTTGTTAACAGTTCAGCTTCAATGCTATCCTCTTCGGTATTATATAAACGAGTGATAACTCTTTTCGATTTTCTTTTTTCTGCTCTCCCTCCAAATGTGTTGACTACAATAGTTGACTCACTCTGAATGTCGAAGTTCATTCTTCGAGCTAGTGATGTTGATATAAAGGATTGGTCTGAGGCCGAGTCTAAAAGCGCTAGGACGATTGTTTTTCCTTGATCGTCCAATGATTGTAAGTAGACTGGAACAATCATGAGACATGGAACATGTTGTTGCCAGCGAAGGCGGTTGTGAACTCGTCAGGAAGGGGTTCTAATCTTTGATTGTTTTGAACATGAAAGTTCACTGTGACGGTTTCCAAGGATCTTCTCTAGGCGGAGGTGATTGATTGAATCGGACTTGATGCTCCGGGATTCTTGGGGGAGAAGGAGAGTTTCTAACCATGCTTCGATCATATGGTTGTCTTGATATTGGTTTTGCTGATAACCGTTGCGGTGACTTGAATCGATCTGAATTGACATATTTATTCCTTGGAACTGGCCTATTGAGTGAATAACTTTCAATACTGGGATAGCTTCCGGGTGAGTTCTTCCTCCTTGTTTCGTAAGGAATCTTGCTATTCATTTGACGCTGATATCAGGGGATATGTCTCCGTGGGTTCATTTTAGGTTGTCCTTCGATAGCACGTCTTTGGATTGACGGCAGATCGTGTAATAGTGAGGACCGCCGCAGTAAAAGCAGTTCTGCTTGGGGCAGAATGCTGTGCGGTGTTTTAAACTAAAACACTTCCAACATGCATTAAGTTCGCGGAAACGCTCTATCTCTTGCACAACGTTAGAGTACCTGTTGCAATGCTGGAACTTTTGTTGTTGGCCACAGCCTGTGCACTGCAGTCTCGGCGGTGCTGTTGCGCTTGTGTAAAAAATTGAGTGCTCACCTTGGTAAGGGTCTTTTATAACCTCTACGTGTTCCTTCCGTTTAATTGCTTTTGACAAGTTATCTAGAAGGTTTTCCATGCTCCCTAGCGTTCCTGAATCGAACTCTTTCCTAGCCATTTCCTCTTGAACGTTTTTTGAAAACGTTTTTAGGACCATGGTTTTCAGGTTGAAGGTATTCACCTCCTCTCCTTGTTTCTCTAATGTAGCTGTAATAGCTTGCACGTCACTAAGGTTGTTTCGTAGGGAGCGGTGATCATCTTGTCATTGTCGCATTGACTTTAGCTTCCGGATCATTTGTATTATGATCTGTCTGGGATTTTGATATTGACTTTTTAGTTGACTAATTGCTTCCTCATAGGAATCCCCTGTTCCTGGTATCATTTGAAGCGATCTAGCCGCATCTCCTTTGCAGCAATTAATGAGAATTGAAATTTTTTCGATGTTGGAGTAGGGTCCCAAAAGTAGTCAAACTCAGAGGGGTTGCCGTAAAAATGTGGAGCTTTTAGTTCGTTTCCTAAAAGTTGTCTCTCCATTGAACATGAGAAATTCTGCTGTGAGGGCGGGGTTGTTCTAATACGCTATTTATCTAATATCTAATATCTAATATCTAATATCTAATATCTAATATCTAATATCTTGTACGCTTTCCCTTTTGAGTTCATGCCTTGCAGTGGCTTCTTGACATTGAAGTTCCACTAACCTTTTCTCTAAT